TGCATAAATTCGATTCTTGATTGATTGGTGCATTGAGTGACAGTTGCTTCAAGGTGTTCTCGGTATTAACGTCCAGTTATAAACCGGTTCTACCTGCAGTATGAATCATTGGCAGATTAATTCCAATGAGAACCGCTGATAGAAGATTTTGTATGGAGTATTAGTTCCTTATTCGTGATGTAATTATTGAGGTCAATTAACTATGGAAATTAGCTAGTCGGCGTACTCTACACATTAACAAAACAGTAGACAATTCACTATTCTGTAATGTAACTCATGTGAAGTATAACGAAAGTTTTATGAGTATCGTGTTGTATTGAAACATTATTTTTATGTCTAGGGTCCGATCCCTAAAGTAGCAGTGTGTCACTCAAATATTTGTAGGGCAAACGTCAAGGACCTCTGAAAGGACCCTCTTACTTCACCGCCCTAGTTCGCACGGACAAACTAAACAACTGATCTTGTTATTATTATTATTTGTATCGAATGTGTTCTAGTTTATGATACTACTGAAGGTTTATTCAATAACGTAACTAATAAACTCTTTGGACACAAACGTTTTTTTGTCGTTGTTCCGCTAACTGCTTTTGGGTTCTGCTAGCATCACACGGGCCGATTCAATTGCTCAACGCCCCACCATTGTGTTACGTGACCAATTGAATCAATATTGTTCCTCTATTGCGTTATCTACTTGTGAATGAGTTACATTTTCTTATTTGTGTCAAATTAAATTAACGCTGTACAATAAATTTCAATTTGTTCCACAATGAAGATACTAGGTATTTTTCAAGTCTATTAAGCACTTAAGGAGTTTGAACCTAGTGCAATTGACCGTGTGTAGTTTTTGCTCCATTTAGTTGTTCTCAAGGCGACAGTTATTATAACAGGACCATCAATAGATCGAATGTTCTGTCAACGTCATTATTTACCTCTTGCAAGGACAACAATCAATAATCCAATTAAGGCTCATTGACAATATAGAACGATTCTCTTTACACTCGGTCATCGGTCCACTTCAATGGCAAACAGTTCACACGTTTATAAATTCTCTATGTAGCACAGTTCATTGTCAGCGAATAATTCGGTGCTGCAGATAATGTGTCATTTAGCATTGATGTTCTAATGCAAGCGGTGTGAGCGTGGGTCGACGGCATTGTTGCGTGGGAAAACATCCCAATTACGAGTATTTATACATCTAAAGCGTTAGTAAATGCTTATATGCCTTACTAACTATTGGAGAAGCTACATTAGCTACTAATATAGAAAATCACGTATAGTCTGACTAGCAGAAATTGTTGGAGCGAGTAAAATCTCGTAGTTGGGTCCAACGCTGCACTGCACCTTATGGGACGTGACCACACGTGTCGCTTTGTTTAATAAATCTGCAGTGGTCTCGTGTGCCATGCCGTCTTGACAATCCTCTCCGAGAGCTATCATAACTCAAACTAAGGGAAACTGACGTGCCGAGAGTTGGTGGACCCATCTGTGGGACTGTGACACGTATATATGAAGTAAAGTTACCGAACGCATGAGAACAACACAATAAAATGACAAGATACGTATAAGAGAAAAAGATAACAAAAAATATGAGCATGAATTAATAAAAAACTGCAACAAACAAGAAATGAAACATCAAGCATCATGTCAGTGATGTTATCATAATTTGTCTTCATTAGCAGTTCAATGACAAAAATGATTGAAGAGGTCTCATTGAATTAAGGACACGTGGGCCGAGTGGGTCCGTTAGTCAAATTAAAAGAAGTCTTGACTTAGAAATATAATCGCGTTACTTTAAAAATATTGCAAACGTTATGTACTACGTTCTGTAACGGTGATTTATTGTATACTGCCGTTACTCCATTATTGGGGCCACTACAATAGAATAATATATCAGTTTGAAGTACTATATCTTTACTATCTCGTACAGCGTTAATTACATACCCAAACTAGTTGGTTGCTAATAAATTTCGACTAAGTATCAGTACGTGACGTAGTTGTATATGATGTCAATTTCACTTTCTAAATTGATGTATGATTTCTAACCAAACTAGGAACAATCTGCTTTATCATCTAATTGCTCTGCGTTATCGCCTTACACAATACCATTTGCAAGTAATATTTCGTTTACAAAGCGCGAAAGATTAATTTCATCCTTAAGTCAGTGTATTTAAAATTTCAGCTTGTTCAGACTGATTGAGCCCTTTACTCAGTCTTCAATAGGCCATTTATAAACATTTACGTCAGGGTTAGAAATATTACTTGAATAGATTTAGGTTATTTCAAATTAAAGTTCTTAATAATATAAACATCACACTGACGGATTTAATGAGAAATAACGGTGTCTGTAATCTTAATCTCCATACAATAAATATTTTCTATAGTCTCTAAGACTGAAATATGGTTAAAAAGAAGCAAGGGAAAGATAACATTTGTTTCGGATGAAAGACATTAGTGAGTCACGACACGATCCTTTAAAAATTTTTGACCACAGCTCATCCCTTTGAAATTCCAACAGGGTGAATCAGAAGAGCTTCTATAAAATGTGGAAATATTTGAATACAATAGCGTTTTACGAACAAAAGTGCTTTTGAGTTTTGCTTAATAAAATATTTCAAAACGTATACAATAACTTTTCGTGACAATCTTGTACAAACGAAGTGACGGCAAATACAGAATTAATGAATCATATACTTTCAAATAAGAGCAATGCACACTTCGGTTTTGTTTTTGTTTAGTCATAGAAAGTGCACGTCGAGAATTGAGTAATAAAAAGACAATAGCGCGTCAATGGAGAGTTGGTAAGCAATTGTAGTGTGAAGAAATTAATCTGATGGCAAGAAGAGCGAATGATAATAAGTACCCTGTGGTGTCGAACGCTAAGCGAAACCTACTTTCACATTAAATATTGTGCAAATAAAGTTTCAGGAACATCTGCGTCCTTCAACAAACGCGCTCCTTTGAAATTAAAAGCATAAGAAATAAATGGCCGATCTTACAATGATGAAACACCCAATAAGACCGCGGCAAGCTGCGATTTGGTAATGCGTGCACGCAGTGGCCAGGTGGCGAAACTGGTTATCTTCCCTTCGCTTTACCATCAGGTGTATACAGCGATTGGGCTCGTAGATACCAATACACCAATTCGCACTGAATGCGTTAATAATAATACACCTATTTGGTGTTTGTTATTGTCTACCTTATCATTTTATCAACATTCCTGTTGACTGTTTAAGGAAATAGTAGCCGTTACGGGCTGGTTATAGAAAACTATCTAAATAAATTACTGAATTTAAGTCACCATTTTAAAGCGTGTTATTTAATACAGTACTTAAAACGAATGTGGTAATAAAATTGCTGCAATGGCGTGCAATATTGTGCGCTACCTGCACCTTGAGCGGCGTCTCGTTTCCAGTCCCATTGTTAACCCATTAGAAGTCACTGTACTCATATGAGTACACCTAAAATTCTACGCATAAACTTAATATCTCTTATATTTTTGTAGGGTAACCCTATTATCTTAATTCATTACAAAATTGTCTAACTATATTGATAAATTATATGAGGGTAGTGCAATATTTTTATCACATTATTTACATTGCCCGCCAATCGACTTCAAAATCAAACCCTACGTGGCGGAAATGTGCTCCCTCCTGCAAAATGGAGTTGGACAATATCCACTAAAATTTAAAAGCAACTACGATGTGTCCTTTGTCATTCAAGAGTACCTATGTTGGCAATGTAAAAAGTGCTAAAACACTTTGTGTAGAAATATCGTGTTTTAAAAATTTTCATACTTATTTTTTTTTTTTACCCAACTGAGTACACATCTGAATTATCATGAAAAATACTATTTTCCATTTTTTTTCTCGCATTTACTGTTCTTATACTCTCAGTTGATTACGAAAATAAACAAAATTAAAAAAAAATATTGGTACTTTGTATTTGACCTTTAATGGGTTAAAGATGTAACTGACCCTAGAACGCGAACGCGAGCAGGTAGTCTTGACTTTAATGAAAGGGATTCAGAATAAAACAGAGAAACTGCAGTTCTCACCCGATTTCTTAATATCATCTTCAAATCAATAGGCCATTCATTCACGAACTATATGGGCATTAAAGTGGAGCGCGACGCTAATACAATGAACAATGGAGATTAAACATTTGTATTGAATGCAAGCGCCAACAATACGTGGGTGTCGAAATTCATTCATTAGATGTAGCCACCTCCTAATATGTAGGACTGGCGCCTTATTTAGGCGAGTCAATAGATCATAGTGCTGATGTTTGCTACATATCCAATAGATTATCTTATTCTTTGAGTGTTCCACACTAATTTCCATTATTCCTCATTGCGTTTATTAGTTCGTGACCCAATTAGCTTCTACATTGCTTGAAATTGATTTGATTCAACTGGTTCCCAGTGTAAAAAACAAAAGATTTAAAAATCCCTTCTTGGAAATGGCTCTCAAACGGGCAATTTATTTAGAGAACATGACGTGTTTTATGTCATCACCTAAGCCCTGGTCATAAACAAAAGGTATTTTTGTATGGATTATATATTTATATTCATCTTTTCTTGGAAACAACTTGATATTATTTTAAAGATGACCTCTGTGGTATAGTTAAGTTATGTGCTTGTTGTCAGTCAAGAATATGTTTATTTTTGTCGAAATGGGTTTTGTGTTTGATTATTTTGCATTTATAATGCTGGTACAGTTATAAAAGCTTTATTTATCGTTATTGGCAATGTCGATTAGCAGCTTTTCTTGAATTATTGAGGCTACGTTGTCGATCCTCACTTTCTTTTTATGTATCTCTTTTAATACCCGTTTGTTTGGTAAACAAATCATTAGTAAATGTCAACGATAATGACAAAACGATTCAGATTCGTGGTCAGGAATGTTTGGCAATATCTTCTCACCTTGATACATATGTTGTTAGAATATCTGTAAAGAATTTTACATTGTTGTGGTTATAATAAGGTATGTAACGTTACCTACCGTTAATTGGATGACAAGTTCCAGTGATCCCGGTACAGAACCAATCAATATGCAACCGTATAATACACCGCACCGTAAGAGCTCTCGTATACTCAGAGCTGGGCATCCACTCGATTATTGATTTGCATGCTTTCCATACAACAGAGATCACTAACACTTTTATAGTCAAATAACAATGTCACAAACAAAACCCTTCCTCGGATGAAATTGTACGATAGAGTTTCACTTGTCAATACTGTCCTGCATCTATTCTACTTATAGACAAAATTTACTGTCACTGGATTCGCACTAGAGCCTAGTGAATGCAGTAAATAGGCCGTGTTTTCACTCCGATGTCGTATTGATTGTAGACGGATTGAATTAAAACAATGGCGTATATAAACACTGTAATATCGCGAGGCGTGCACAGCACGTGCCGCCCCGCCCGCGGTCACCTCCGGACTGTCGGCCCGACCGTGTTGAATAAAGATCGCGTTCGGGTGCGTTCGTCGCACGGCGCTCACTGCGTTCGGATGCCCTGCTCAGCGCAATACAGCGCGGCAAGGTAACTCCGTGGATGTTTTTATTTTGTAATCATTGCATGTCATTTCCACGCGTGCGTATATTATTCTGATTGCGTTCGGGTTTTAACTTCCTAATATTGCCCATAGTTATTTAGAGTAGCAGGATGATGTTAATTAATATTATTTCTATCCTTATTTAATAAATAGGTGATATGATGAACATTTACGAGGTGCATGATATCAGTCACGCAGATGGTTTTAAGTACAAAATTATTATTGCCATAAAATCCAGTGGCTGCATTAACGCGACCATGTCCATTTAACCCGTAACGTCTAATATTAGAAAACAAAGAGCTAGACATTTATGACTGGAATAATGACGAGTTTGATTGCGAACATTTGCATTCTGAAGTGAAGCAGTTAATAATAAAAGCTCATTTCTCACCAGTTCAATAGCTGTTACAAGTGCTCCGGAGACTCAATTTCAAGTTAATTTTGCTGAAACTATATTTATATATGCATTGCAGCATGAAGCTGATAGACTTGTTTATTCGGCTCGTAATTTTTTTTGAAAGTTATGTTTGAATTTTTCTTTAATCTTTTGAAAAGCATTTACGAAATAGACAAGATAATTTATATAGATGTTTTAGATAAGATAACTTTATAGAGTAAAGATAATAAGTCCAATGATATAGAGGTACATACAATATTTGTACTACCTCTACATAGAGAAGATGAAGAAGAGGAAAGATTGTAATCAAAGGTTACAGTAAAGTGGTCCCAGGAGAAGTTATTATGGCCTATCTGATGAAAAGATGATGATAATATAATTTGTCTCAGTACCAAACGCGGTCATTCACACACAGACACAATCTGTAGCAATTCTGATGTAGCAAGGACTAGGGGAAAATTTGTCAATTTTGGGATTATTATATTAGGTGCGGAACGATGTAAATATGTGTATCGTAAAACCGGTAAAATTGTATTTATAGATGAACGTAATCGAGTAACTGCAGTCATAGGGTTTTCAATTTTTTCTATGAGTTGGAATATATGTTTAAAAATATGTATAAAAAATTTGAATAATTTTGTGGTCTCATTTAGCTTTTGTATTTTTTGGTTTTAGAGGAAGCATTTAAATGATTATTAAAATAGGTTCTGTTTCAAAGAATAATCTTTTATTAAAGACAGTTCAGTGACATTGCTAATTTATGCAGTAGCATCAGTCTTTTAGTTCACGTGTGCTAATGTGATGTTATCTTTAAGAGGCGACTGACGGACGCCATCCGTAGTCCTGCTGTCTACTTCTGTAGCCTTGGTAATTAGATTGGCAATTAGCAGCACACAAATAATATAAGACTGGTTAATATTTCTCATGCTGGAATTTATTTCATTTCGTTTAAGAGTTAATTCAAATTAACCGTAAGTTTTAGAGTCCGAAAGAAAATGGTCATAATCTAAATTTTCACGGATGGGTATAAAATTACATTTATTTTTAAAGTTCTTATTTATCCTAGCAGTTTACATGTGTAGGCATATCGAAAACTTAGGCACATTAACCTGCTTAAAAGGCGAGGGGGACTAGGATGCCGTCTCCTCCTTCTGCGAAGCAATCATGCATCATGAGGAACTTCCTCACGCCCCAGCCGACGCGAGAGACACTCCGGGCGTCAGGGATCACAAGACGGTCTCCGGCCACCGCAAGCACAGGCCTGCGGGCGGCGAGTCACCCGTGCTCACCGCCAGAACCAGACCCGAGCGTACGGCGGCGCTTCACGTTCCGCGCGCGCCTCAAGGAGCCATCAGACCACCACAGATGGGGCCCAATAGGGCTGATGCCGATACGGAGCCGCGGAAGACTTAACGGGTTGCCGGGGCTCCGGCTCGAAGTGCAGAAGTAGGAACGGGGTGATTTTTAGTTAGTAAGAGTCTGACATTCCCTCTTGCCTCACCCGGGCGGGAGAAGTCATTGGATGATTTTTATCCCTCAAAAAAAGGCACATTAACCTTTTGTCTGTCTATAATGAGACACAATAGAAAAAACATTGTGTCTCGCGTAGATCTGCTTTCTGACAGACAAGAGGTGAATAACATTAAATTAATTAGAATTATGATATTCGTTTCCAAGTTGAAGAAACTTGTTAATGAAAAATTTCTCTGTCCTTATAAGTCCCTAACTCCTTTCGTCAAAACAACGCACTACGATAATTCGAAGAAAGTTCCAAATAATTCAGTTCTCAGAATAAATAATTGGAAATACCTAAGTGAGTGGCAGCTGGTCCTTGAATTTCTGTTGTTGGTTCGCTCAAATAATAATTTATCTTTAAATTTACATTTTAATTTTCAGTATTCTCTGTTGGCTGAGTATCTTTATCTTTTACTCAAATACATTAAGTATTTATCGTCTTTGTTAATAAAAGTACTTGTAGTGACTATGTTCAATTAAATGAGAATAACGAAGTAAGTTTGGGATGAATAGAGGTATCAGTTTTCTTGCTACTCTTCTGACAATAGCTCATTAATTTGCTACATGGGAATAATGAGATTGATGGTTTCGCCTTTAGGCACCAATATTAAAAAACTTAAAAACTTTTTTATATTTCCCTTTACAGTTAACAAAGGATCTATCTAAATGGTGGAGGGGTATTCATAGTACTTTTCTACGTTTGCAATTATGATTTTCGATCACCATCGTGGTTGGTTTTTTTCGTAAGTGTCAAAGTGCAGAACTGCAAGTTTATGGAGGACCACAAAAAGTATCAACAAAAACTAAATATTATCCGAAATAATTATTCTGAATGTATCCTCTACAAAATTGAATACAATTATGTTTCATTGTGTTGTCTTAGCATTCGTCCTCGACCTCTATGTTAACGGGACCTGTGACCGCCGAAGGAATTGCAGCGCATACCAGTTAATATTTCTCCTTTAGTGTTTGTCATACCACCATTTTATTTTAAGGTTAATGCAGCTGAAATTTCTTTTAAAATATTTTTATAATTTTTTATTTCTTTGTATGTATTATCTTTTTTAAAACTGGTTGTGACTTTTGTGTTGATATCTATACAGTTTCTTTTGCAGCTTGGAATGATGTCAATCGCCTATGAATTTTATTATCCATAGAATTGTTGATAAATACCTAGTAATAACTGTTAAATAACTGATACATACTTTGTATTATTTCAGGGACAAAATTTCATTAGTATTTCGTCCACAGATAAACATTGGAAAGTTAAACACAACTTATATGACATTAGTTACAGAAATGTGGGCCCTAGAGAGAAATTATTTTGCCACATAATTTGGTTCTTTGACGATATCGTTATGTTCAAATTATATTTGCATTAATACAACCTGAAGGGCTTGTCAGCGCGGCGCCCGGCTGAGGTTACCCGACATTTTGCCGCCATTAGACGAAGATAGTTCTCACTAAATTTTAATCTTGTCCTTAACAGGGTTCAACTAGATTTAGAAACGTTATTCATACCCAAATTAAATATTTACTGCTGGGGTTTAATTTTAATTGTGTTTGCAATTTACATAAATCCTCTTAAGTAGATATCAATGTTGATTAAAATTAATCTTGAATTAGGTACTCGTTTATTTGAAGAAGATGAATGAATGTCATTTATATTTGTACGTCGTACTCATAGAATATATTCAAGTGCAGTGATATGAAAATATTTGATATTCAAGTTCAAACAAATAAAAATACAACGAAACATCCCCAACAGACCCAAAATTGATGGTTATGAAACCTTGAAACGTATCCCATCTATCAATTGAGATGAATTCATCTTGTTCATTCGACCAACATAGGTTTATAGGACGTGAGTTATGTCCGTAATTTATATAATATTTATCACAATCTACCACACAATCGAAATGTCGTCCAATCGTGAGGCGATTCAAGTCCAAAATAGGCATCGCTAAAGGGAGCTATTCATTTTGTACCATGGGAAAGAGCGACGAGCCACTCTGACGTTGATGTATTATACTACTTAAGGATTACGATATGTTTAAACGGGACAGTTCCAACCAATGTACCTACATTTTTGACATACTTTCATCAGTAACTGATGCTATTTTTGGAAAATAAGACGCTTCTAATAAGTCTTGTAGAAGTGCGAGTATTTTTAGTGCAGACGACATTACTAATTAATTTTCTTGTTCGTAGTTAATTTTAGATAACGCAGCAGTCAATAAATCTGCGGAGCGGATGTTTTTGGATCCTGATTTAGTTGTACGCTTTGTTAATAAACGAATACATCTGACTTCAGTAAATAAAAAGTTCTATAAATAAATTAATGATATCAATAGAACACCATAAACTTCAGTATCAGACAAAAACCTTGAGTGTGTTTCATACTTAAAAAACGTTCGTCCCAAGCTCTCCAGTAATTATGCACGCCCCTTAACACCCATAAATCAGGAAGCAATGTACTAAAACTTTCTCTACTTCATTAACTATGAAGAACGTGTTTTTCCGTGTGTATAATTTTCGTTTCAGGGATAAAGGGCGAGAGAAGACCGGGAACTATCCCCCATTATGGTTACGTGATAGCCAAAAGTTAAGAGCAATATCAACCCCTCACCCCTCTTAGATGGTCACAAGTCTCCAATCTATTTGGAACAACACCCATAACTTATTGACCAACATTATTCGAGGAAGTGGCAAGATCTTTAAAGATTACTTCTTTTTTTTTCTTTTCATGTTTTCATCGGGACATCAAAATAGTTTGATGTAGTGCCTTTTTATGAGTTACAACTTTTATGATTCATTGCTAGTTCGGGCGGGCATCATTTTCCGCGTGTTTGGTTGTTGCTTTTACTTATGGCTTTCTATTTATTTTACGATCGGATGTTGTATGCATTATGATTTATGTGTTGTTAATCAAAACCAGAAGAATATGTTTAAATTATTCCATAAAAGGAATATTTGTCATAAATGTAAGTTTAAAAATTAAAAACTTTACTAGTTTCTTATAATGATTGAGATATTATACATA